AGCCACAACATCTTGGTCTTCAAATCTTCAATTGCACTTTTTAATTAAGGCTAATGTTTAAAAGGCGGAGTGAGCATAGATATTCTAGGAAAACTTAACAATAGACTTAGGGTAATCTATCAGTGAGATCTACTTACGCTCCCCTTGGTAGCATACATTTGCATGAAATTAAAATCAGCTTAACAACGATTAATAATTAAACTCATCGAAAACCACTTATTCTTTGTTTATATAATTGATCTTGCTTACAAAAGATGTAGAAAAATCTATGGTGATTGAAATGAGCTGAGTTAGGATTTGCCGGCAAAATGACTTGTACTTTTTTTATAACTTTTCCAGTAATTATTGAGGATTTTTTATTTCAAATATAATGGCATCATTGAATTTCTACTGGAGTTAGGTCCATTATTTTCAATTAATGCAGAACTCTATTCTTCATATTTATAATAGTTGTATATTAAATTTATTATAATCAACTACGTCTTGTTGCTTGATGCGTACTACCCTATTTCTGACTCCCATTTAAATCTAATTTTGAACCTGGGCTAGAATGACGGTACATTATATTCTAGACACATATTTATATTCTGGACACATTAAAACTTTCGGATGGACAGGCTACTTTATATCATCTTCTCTCAGAAACTATTATTAGGTAAGAAAAGTTTGGGACTATTGTGCTGCATCGAATAAACCTTAAGATTTTAAAGAAGGGCGTGTATTTATGGTCACACAAATCATTGGGGAAAATTTGATATTTGATTTAACGTCTTGAATCTTTCCATTAAAAAAAGATCTCTAACAAAAGGCTTCCATACCGAGATTCAAAGATTTATTTATTGGTAAAAAAAATTTACCAAATTTTTAGAATATATCGGTAGAAGGGATAGCGGTAACCTACTCTTTGTTATAAAAAAACTTAGCCCAATTTATTGCGAAACCTTTGGAGGCATCTCAAACACGGGAGAAGTAATCAAATGGATCTCCTGAAATATTAAAGACTTGAAAAATGTACCTTTAAATATTAATGAACAAAAAGTAAATTTTTATTAACAACGGAACTTTTCGGGAATCCATTCACACGGAAACTTTTTTCCAATCTTCACAGATAGCATCATTTGGCAATTGTTAAGGTTTATCCCTACTCTCAGCCACATGTAAGATATTCATTAAAATTGCCGTACAGAATCAGGCTCCATATCGAGTATTTATTTTTCAATTCTCACTTTATATTTTGGCTAATCCGTTCATTTTTATCTGCAGGCAATTCTAAGATATTTGCTCAGGGGGTTTTAGTGTAATATTTAAAAATATATATAGATTATTCAAAGGATCATGAAATCGCCTCCTAAGGACAACTCTTCCGCAACCATTTTGGAAGAGTTTAGCTCCAGAGTACAAAGCGTTGGCTTAAAACGCTGCTTGTACGCCTTACTATTAGTTGTGTTTGCAGCAAGATAGCTTATTTGGCTTTGCCATGCAAATATAATGATTCTTTTCGAAATCTAAATTCGCCTTTCTTAATTGGCTAGTTAAGAGCAAGATTCTTCTAGCTACTCGATAATGTTTCATGT